ACTTGGGGGTAAGATTTCCTAGAATTGGAACACTCAGAATCTGGTGCAGGTGTGCATGGCAGCCAATCAGCTTCTAACTTCAGCTTGTTCAGTTAAGCTTTAGCAATAAACCCTGATTGGTTTCTATGCAGAGCTGCACCAGATGTTGCACTCTCCAGCTTTAGTAAATAAACCACTTGCTGTTCACCATATTACAGGAACAGAAGGGCTGTCCATTTTCTTGCTGCATGAATAAAGCTTCTTCAATCTAGCCATATAGAGCCGTATTTATCACCAATACAGACCATCTAGTTGTGGCTTTAAAATGACTGTTGACCAACATATATCCCAATAAATCCAGCCGACGTGAAATTCTCCAACACAGACAGATCTACAGATGCCATCATGAGCTTGGTTAGTGATACCCTACCTCCTGATGAACTACAGGTACCAGCAAGCCGCCCAAACCAACCATAAGACTTCAAAAGGATACGAGTAAGAATTGGTCCGTTGATCCTGCATGACGGTCCCCTGCAGTGGCTCAGTAGTGGGGTGTAAAGTTTCTTTCATCCACATTCACAAAGATTTTTATAACTCCAAGGAAGAGTAATCGGTTGAATGTTCATAGGTCACCTCCCTGTCAATGTGTTCTCAGTGCAGATTGAGGTATATTAAGTGACAGCAGGGGTCAGTAAGGCTACTAAAGGTGGTGGATTTGCGGTTAATGGGACAGGGAGGAGGTAGGTCAGTAAAGTGAATGTGTTGTGTTCATTCAATAGAAGAGTGAAATGACAAATACTACCTGATAATGAGGTGTTAATAGAATGCTAAGTGGTACAGCTTGATGGTGACTGCACAGGCTGCATGGTGTCAGTGACATGCTGGGGGCACATGGCCACTGTCAAGTGTTAATGAGACCTCTTATATACCTAGCTTGTATGTGTTAATGTGTCTAGAGGGCGACAAGGTAAATGTCACACCTTTCACATACAGCCAGCAAAACCAACCACAGACCTATGACAGGGGTCTGACAGGTCCAGAACAACACAGAGCAATGATCGGCCAGGGATTGCAGGCTGTATGTAGAAAAATCAGGAAAAATGTGGAAAAAGTGCAAAGTCAACATTCATTTATACACCAAGAAGAAAAAAAAAAAAAAGGAGGACTGGAACGTGGGGTTCAGATAAGATTTATATATATGATGTACAAGGAAAACAGAGAAATCTAGAATCCAGTGTGTGCCAGCATCATAGATTACACAGAAGTTACCAATGTTCCCCCAGTAATAGATGAGGAATGGTGATGGATCCGCAGAGCACAGATCGGAGGAATTGGAGATTTGGGGTGCTGAGTATTAGGGGTACACAGCAGTCATGTCTTCATAGAATAGAGAGCGCAGTATATATAGTGCAGTGTATGCAGTGCTGGGTATATAGCTCAGTGGAATGCAGTGTATATAATGCTGGGTATATATCTCTGTGGAATGCAGTGTATATAATGCTGGGTATATATCTCAGTGGGATGCAGTGTATATAATGCAATCTATATATCTCTGTGGGATGCAGTGTATATAAAGCTGGGTATATATCTCAGTGGGATGCAGTGTATATAATGCTGGGTATATATCTCAGTGGGATGCAGTGTATATAATGCTGGGTATATATCTCAGTGGGATGCAGTGTATATAATGCTGGGTATATATCTCAGTGGGATGCAGTGTATATAATGCTGTGTATATAGTTCAGTGGGATGCAGTGTATATAATGCTGTGTATATAGTTCAGTGGGATGCAGTGTATATAATGCTGTGTATATAGTTCAGTGGGATGCAATGTATATAGCGGTGTGTATGTAGCTCAGTGTACAAAAAATGAATACAGTAAGCTGGATAGATGTAGAAAGTTCCTAAGATCTAAAGATGATCTTAGATGTATATAGTTTAGTGAGATGCAGTGTATTTAGCACAGAGGGGTGAAATGTATATAGTGCTGGGTATATAGTCGGGTGAATATAGTTCTGGGTATATAATGCAGAGTATATAATTCAGTGTATATAATGCAATGTATATAGCTCAGTAGGATGCAATGTATATATTAATTTGTTGTATAGTGGAGTGTATCTAGTTCTGTGTATCTAGTGGGGTGTATATAGCCCAGTGGGATGCAGAGCGTACAGTCCAATTGATCCAATGGTCTGGAGAGAAGTACAGACTTGTAGTCTATGGAGGAGCTGGAGGGTGAGATGAGAGGAGAGCAGTGACAGTGCTGGGTGAGATGAGTAGAGGAGAGCAGTGTATACAGTGCTGGGTAGAGATGAGTAGAGGAGAGAGTGATACAGTGCTGGGTAGAGGAGTAGCAGTGTATACAGTGCTGGGTAGAGATGAGTAGAGGAGAGCAGTGTATACAGTGCTGGGTAGAGATGAGTAGTGTATACAGTGCTGGGTAGGAGAGCAGTGTATACAGTGCTGGGTAGAGATGAGTAGAGGAGAGCAGAGTGTATACAGTGCTGTGGGGTAGAGATGAGTAGAGGAGAGCAGTGTATACAGTGCTGGGTAGAGATGAGTAGAGGAGAGCAGTGTATACAGTGCTGGGTAGAGATGAGTGAGGAGAGCAGCAGTGTATACAGTGTGCTGGGTAGAGATGAGGAGGTGATAGAGGAGAGCAGTGTATACAGTGCTGGGATGAGGAGAGCAGCTTATGAAGTGCTGGGTAGAGAGGTGATTGGGGGGGGGGGGGTGTTGCAGAGCAGACAGTAGAGGGTGCAGAGCTGTGTACAGGAGAAGGTGTTCTACACACGCAGCACACCAGTCACACTGTCATAGTCTATGGAGGGTCGATCACCCACGAGGTCCATGAGGTATTCTGTATTATAGGGGGTAGAGGTCATAGCAGAAGGCTGTGTAGGCTCCGGATCCAGCAATGAAGCACAGGTCAGGGATGCAGCACTTCCATCACACACATCCACGAGGCTGGGGACACGGCTCCGGGGTCAGTCAGTCCATGGCGGGTGTCTCGGTGCTCGGTCTCCGGTTCCTCTCCGGTCTCGGTGAGCTGTCAGTGTGCTCTCTCCATCTTGTTGCCTAAGGAGTAAGCTTCGGTTGCTAGGTAAAGGAAGGCCACTCCCCTCCTCCGATGTCATGTCCGTGTACAGAGAAGCCGCGCCCAGATGTGGCCGGTGCCGGGTCACGTGTGAGGGGAGCGAAGCTGTGAGTCACACGGGGCCATGTGGAAGCATTTCACACATTACCCGCCATACCTAGACTTTATATATACATAGATATGTATCCCTGCCTGGGCTGGAAGCTGGCTCACTATACATATATACTGGCCCGGAGTAGGACAAAAAATGGGCTCGGGGATCTTGGACTGAACAACCCCAAGAAGAAAGAGAAGGAAAGAGGGAACGAAAGGAGGGAGGGAGAGAGAAGGAGGCAGGAAAAGCAGAAAGAGAGGAGGAAAGGAGTGAAGGAAGGAGGGAGCGAAAGATGGGAGAGAAGGAGGGAGGAAAAGAAAGAGGGGAGGGAAAGAAGGAAGGACTGAGAGAAGGAGGGAGGAAAAGAAGAAAGAGAAGGAACGAGGTAAAGGAAGGAGGGAGGGAAAGAATGAAGAGGGGAAAGGAGGGAGGAGAAGGAGGAAAAGAAGAAAGGAGGGAAGGAAAAAAAGAAACGAGGGAGAGAAGGAGGGAAAGAGAGAATGAAGGATGGAAAGAAGGGAGAGGAGTGAAAGAAGGAAGGCAGGAGGGAAAGAAGGAAGGAGGGGAAAGAAAGGCGAGACAGAAGGAGGGAGAGAAGGAAAAGAAAGGGAGAGAAGGAAGGAGGGAGAGATGGAAGTAGAGAAAGAAAGAAGGCAGGAGGGAAGGAGTGAAAGAAGGAAGGAGGGAGAGAAGAAAGAGGGAAAGAAATAAGGAGGGAAGGAAGGGGGGAGAGAAAGAAGGAGGAAAAGAAACGGAAAGAATGTTGGATGGAAGGAGGGAAACAGGAGACAGAAAGAGAAGTATAGAAAGAAAGGTGAGAAACAGATGACAGAGAAGCAGAGAAAGAAAGGGAGAGAAGACAAGGCTTGCGGGGAGTGTGGGTGGGGCAGACACAGAAGAAATGCACGGTCCAGTCACACTATGTGCCACCCGGCCTCCCCTCCTATCCAGGCGACTCCGGACCACCGGGCCTGCATATATAGTAGGGATGCAGTGATATTGGTATCAGTGCCGATAATGAGTATTTTCACAATTACTTGTATTCGTGAAAATGCTCCCAAAACCAATACTTTGTGGTGCGAAAATGCATCTATAAAAAATGCCTGGGCGCAAACTGCACTGCAAAGAATGGCATGTGATTTCAACAGGAATGCAGTGTGATTCCTGTCCAAATCTCATGCGTTTTCCTGCACTGCTCCTGACCTCTGCACTCTATTTTGTGTGCTAATCCTGACCCCTACATTCTATAAACTATGTTGAACATTACAAACTCCTGACCCCTGCATTCTATAGACTGTGCTGTACATCGCATACTCCTGACCTCTACGCTCTATATTTTGTGCTGTGTGTTGAACTCCTGAACCATATAAGATATGTTGAACTTTACTTTCTCTTGACCCCTACATTCTATAAGAAATGTACATTAGATACTCCTGACCCCTGCAATCTACTCCTGACCCGCTGCACTTTGTAATCTATGCTGTTCATTACATAGTTTTGATCATTACTTTTCTTGCCTCAACAATTACTTTTCCCATGCAGTCCCCAACAACTTTAATGGCATTCTTCTTTAAGGTACGATCAAAAGGTGTTGGCTGTCTGCCTATATTCTGTACATAGCAAGGCATATGTAATGAAAGAGGTTCAGTTTTAAAAAAATGATTTTTTTTTGCTGAGGGATGTGTATCTTCAATGCCAGCCATACATATGTAGATCTTTCTTGTTCAGGCCTGTGTTTCCTCACATCTGCAGTGGAACTATACATCACTAAAGGTTTACTGTCTCATCCAAAAGGAAATATGAATCCATAACTATTCAAGAAACACTTTTTGGAACTTAAAGTGGAGCTCCACCCAAAAGGGGAAGTTCCGCTTTAAGCCTTTGTCCCCCACTCCCCATTAAGGATTGGCACCTTTGGGGAGCGGGTAACCTGAATTTGACAGGTACCCACTCCCACTTCCACCGTGATTGCCTAGGCGATCGGAAGCAGAAGTTGTCCTCCCCCCTCCCTCCCTGTAGTCTTCTGGGACATGTGACAGGTCCTAGAAGACTACGAGACCATCCACAAAGCGCAGCGCTTCTCGCACATGCTCACTGGGCACCCGGCTGTGAAGCTGCAAGCTGTCACAGCCGGGTGCCCACAGTGAAGATGCCGGCACCAAGGAGAGAAGATGGCTGGTGAAACCAGCAGTGGTAAAGACACTGCTGGACCGAGGGATAGGTAAGTGTCTGTATTTTAAGAGTTAGCAGCTACAGTTTTGTAGCTGCTGACTTTTTTTTTTCAGGTGGAACTCCTCTTTAAAGGATAAGTTCACCTTTTGGACAAAAATAAAAAAATAATAATTTTTTTGCAGGTTTATTATTTTTGTGCAAAGGAGCCTGTAAAGCATTGCACCAGCAATCAGAAGATCGCTGATGCCATGCAGGCCTCCTGCAGACCTGTCAGAATATCTGCTTGCCATATGGGATAATTCAATGAACTACAACAGCGTCGGTTGCTATTCACATGTAACTGCTACTCAGAGTCATGGCACAGCCAAAGCACAAGTTAATTTTTTTTTAAACCACAGAGAATGTAGAATAGATGATTTACAAAAACAGAACAGAGCAGTTAACCAGTATTAACCAATTGTGTTTCCTAATTTACATGAAGACATCTTAATAGTTACTATGAGTAACAGCAGCAATTAGCTTTGTTTTTACATTGAAGTCAAAGTCCAGCTGGCAGTAAAAATTACCCTGGCATTGCCCTCCCCCCACTACCCTCCCCCCCACGGACCCCCCAACTGGTCTTCAGGTCCCCCGTGCCGGAATGTCAACTGTGGATAGTCGGCTGTGACTCCAAGCGGTTTCACAGCTGGCTTCTCGTGGCACATACGCAAACGTCTCTGCGCTTTGTGAATGGTCCTGAAGTCTTCTGGGACTTTTGACATGTTCCAGAAGGTTGTGGCAGGGAGGGAGGAGGAGAACTTTTGATGGATCTTCCGCGACGAACCAACCGTAAGTGAGAGCGGGTATCTGTCAAAGCCAGGTACCTGCTCCCCCCCCCCATCAATAAAAACAATTTAATTTTAAATATGGCAGAGGAGGGGGAGGAGAAGGAAGAGTGGACCTTCTAATTTTGGGTGAAGTTTAGACCACTGCAAGGGTAATTTTTAAACTCTCCCAGAGTTCAGCTTTAACCTCAATAAGCAGGTGAAGACTGAACCTCCAGCAAGAAGAACTGTTATGAAAAAGCTATGGCTAGATAAGATGAGGCCAGCAGTGGACTTAACCTGATGGGTTCTATCGGTAACCAACGCAATCAGATTTGAAAGGGCTGATCCTTTAATTTGCACAAACTAAGAAATCCTGGCTAAGCCAGTAATATGTCAAATAATATAATGATATAATAACAATCCTCAAAAGTTTATAATAGCTAACAATTTTTTACTACACCATACTAATTAATAGCAAGTGGATTCATTTAAGATTTCAAAGAGGGTGCAGGCTTCTCAAATGAGACAGTCACTTCTCATGATGAGATCCAGGCAGTGGTGCTGGCTCTGAGTGTACAGCTAAACTTCCAGCAGTCTCAGCTCCAGAATCTGCGGTCTGCAGTCTTTTCAGAAGACGATCTGACGGCTCTTCTTGAAGGGTTTGGGTTTCTTCATATTAAACATGAGGCACTTTTCTGCTGCTGTATTGATTTTCTGCCACATTGTCTTCTGCAGAGGAGAAAGTAAATTGACCAGTAGTAACTATTCCGTCCTCTCTGTAAAGGTAAGCTATCTATTATTTATATATTGTCCATGTTATTATGTCTATGTAACTCACATTATTTAAATACATAAAGTCTTATTTAATCCAGGAGCACAACATAATGGGGTACAGTGACCTGTAAACAGTATACAGCATTAAAAACATTTAGTAATAATTACTTGCTATATAGGTCATCTGGCACATTTCCTTTGCCTTATAAAGGATGCTATTTAGAATGTACTATTTCATTGTGTGATGCTTGTGTACATTCATGGATTTTACTGAACTAAAATTCTGATAGACACAGAATCATTGAATTATTAAAAATGGTGTTGAGCTGGAACCTCACCTGGGATTCTGTGCACGGAGAACTACACTAGCTGCCAACTACACTACCATTGCTGATGTCTACTAAATATTCAAATTACTGTCATATTTCTCCCAAAGTTTCAATACTTTCTGAGCCACTGAGCAGGAGATAGTATGCAGATCAGAACGCTGTATATAAATATGGACTTCAGTCATTGTATCACATCTGATATCAAACTAATGACTGTATATAGAAATGTGCGGACTCTCAAGGTACCCATTTTACAAAAACATTTTATAAAAGCATAATTTTATTTAGTGCAATGATTGGACATAAACATGTAACAGAAAACCCATACATAAACACCACCTAGTCCAACATCTATATCACTATTGCTATACAAGATATCTTAACAGAAGACAATATGGGGGGGATTTACTAAAACTGGAAAGTGCAAAATGTGGTGCAGCTCTGCATAAAAACCAATCAGCTTCCTATTTTTTTTGTCAAAGTTTAACTGAACAAGCTGAAGTTAAAAGGTCATTGGCTTCCATGCATAGCTGCACCAGATTTTGCACTCTACAGTTTTAGTAAATCAACTCCTAACAGTCCAGAATTCAAGCTAGTATAAGGTGAAGGATAGACGAGTACTCTCTGTGTTTCCCAGAGAATATCTACTTCTTCAGCAGTGTAGCAGTTGTAAACAGGGCGATGTCGACATTGGAGAGCTCTCCTATAAATAAAAGCATCAGGACCCAAAAGGTGGAGGCACAGCGTCCAAACTGGAGAGGAAAACTGGTTCCGCAACCAGATAGAACGTAGCTTGGTGCATCATGATTGCTTAAATCTCATCCATGGAACATTGGAAACTAATTATCCACCTCATAGAAAGCAGGTAAAACAGTTGTAATAGTAAATATTGAATTTGGGTTCAGACAGTGTACAGAACTTGGTAGCAATACTTTGGTAGTATATAGTCCAGCAATATTAATGGACTTTGGTTTTCAAGATCTCATAATGCACTATAGTGAGATTATGCAACGGAAGGTCGTTGGCCTAATGGGCAAAGGTCCAGGATCTTGATCGTAACAAGACACCAGTATTATTGTAGACCATAGGAAATATAGGAAAGAGAAAATATCTGAAGTATAGAGTGAGGGAAGTGTTTTTACCTAAATAAATTCAGGCGGTAGAGAAAGAAAGAGAAGGCGGGGAAAGGAGGGCTTGAGAGAGCTGGATGACGGCCATTTATCTTTATAGGAAAATGTTCCCACCATGGTCTTGAGTTCAATCATCAAAACAGACCCAGGGGTCCCACACACGTTCACAGGTAGTAAGATCATTATTCATTCTGACTGTAAATGTTTCTAGAAGATCTACTTCTGAAATGCAAGAGTGTAGGTCATGTGTGGTAGCCTATGCAATGACAGGTCACCTTTAAACCATAAGAATACCATGGATATCGGTGAGCTCGAAGAGAGCATTGGATACAAATCAGCAGATATTGTCCTCTTAACACTGATAGATGTATTCTGCACATTTGGAAGTCTGTTTATGTCACAAACGCTAGTAGCTTCTCAAACGAACGTTCATAAGGATGTTTGCAGAAAATCTCTCAGTGCATTCTATGACTTGATGATTGTCATTTGAAAGTGCAGAACATTTTCTTTTGCTTTTAACATTTTCTTTTGCTTTTGAATACAAAAATTCCATAATGTTCTCATGATTGCGATAGAAATCTAAACATTTGCAATACAATTCTACTAGTGTATGGTCACCTTTAGGTTTAAACTCAGGACAGGCTGACTCAAAAATATCAATTTTCTAGGGCCAAAAACTATGTTTGGCACTCTATTACAGGCAATCCTTACTATTTTATGTAATTCTTAATTTATAATATATGTTTTTTTTCTGTGTCCACTGTAATATTTCAGAGATTCTAAACCTTTTTTTTTTTAATAAAAAACATGTTATACTTACCTACTCTGTGGAATGGTTTTGCACAGAGAAGCCCTGATCTTCCTCTTCTCGGGTCCCCCACCAGAGCTCCTGGCTCCTCCCCCCTGCTGAGTGCACACCATAGCAAGCTGCTTGCTATGGTGGCACTCATATAGGCTCAATGCTGAGCCATGCTGTGTGTGTCCATTAGCTGTGATTGGCAGCAGCGGGAGCCAATGGCTCCCGCTGCTTCCTCTCTGTCCAATGTGGAGATAGCTGAGAGCCACTGCTCTCGGGCACAGCACTGGATCGAGGTCAAGCTCAGGTAAGTATAAGGGTGGGCTGGGTGGAGGGGGGAGCTCCATACAGAAGTTTTTGACCTTAATGCAGAGAATGCATTAAGATATAAAAAAAAACCTCATGCCTATACAGTGGGGTTGATTTACCAAAACCTGAGAGTGCAAAATCTGGTGCAGCTGTGCATGTTAGCCAATCAGCTTCTAACTTCAGCTTGTTCAATTAAGCTTTGACAAAAAACCTGAAAGCTGATTGGTTGCAGAGCTGCCCCAGATTTCTCTCCAGTTTTAGTAAATCAACTCTATTATGTTGCAAAATCCTATGCTGACTTAGAATTTGTAATTTACTATTATTGCCCATTTATCTTTTCTTCACATAGAGGAAAAAAATCAAAGTAAATGTCCAAATCAACCTGCCCTTCAGTCACATTTAAAGTGGCACTGGATAATGACGGAGAATGACTGTGTGAATCGGAGTTTGGTTGCTGTGGGCCAGTAAAGAAAGTTTTCAAGCTGGAAAGTTTATATACCTATAAAGCAAAGTGTGTAAAGATGGTTACAGAAGTGGCAGTTAATATATTTGACAGACTGCATGGCGTGTTATTTTGACTGTCCCATAATTCCATTAACTCAGAGGATGGAACATTTGAACATTACTAAGTCTACAACTTGAGCTTCAATATAGATACATTACTTCTCTTTTAGAAATGCTTGGTCTAAATTTTATTTTGTCTTATTGTGAACCTGTCAGGGGAATCAACTTTTGAAACTAACTACTATACCTTTAAAATGAACCATCTGTTCCTAAAACAGTTATGAAAAGTTGCCTGTTATGCTGGCCCTGTGGCTTCTCAGCTTGTGCCCAGGGGCACTTCTGAGGTTAAGAAGAGACCCCATTCTACTGCCCCCCTCCCCAGCTAAAATTTGCACTGTACTACAGCAGGTCCCAGAGTTACAAACATACACTCATACTTAAAGCGGAGCTCCACCCAAAAGGGAAATTTCCGTTTTAAAGACTGGTCCCCCGCTCCCCATTAAGGATTGGCACCTTTTGGGGGGCGGGAGCTGGTACCCGAATTTGACAGGTACCCGCTCCCACTTCCGCTGCGATCGCCTAGGCGATTGGAAGTAGAAGGTGTCCTCCCTTCCTCCCTCCCGTAGTCTTTTAGGACACGTGACAGTTCCCAGAAGATTACAGGACCATTCAGGAAGCGCAGCACTGCTTTGCATTTGCAGTGGGTACCCGGCTGTGAAGCCACAAGCCGTCACTGCCGGGTGCCCACACACTGAAGATGCCGGCGCCCAGGGAGAGAAGACGGCCGGTAAAACGGGCTGCGGGGGGCACACCGCGGGACCGAGGGACAGGTGAGTGTGTGTTTTTTTTTAAAAGTCAGCAGCTACAGTTTTGTCATGACAGTGGGTCGGTCATCTAGCTGCTCACCGCATGCTGTCTGGCGGTACCAGTTAACCCTTCCCTATGCTACCCAATGGCTGGAGATACCTTTAAAAAATATACCTGTTCTAAATTCAACTTACAGTGACACTAAACTTAAAAATGTTTTTCTACCTTAATGCATTGCTTGCAGTAAGGTAAAAAATGTTTTATATTTGTCTGTTCTCCTCCTTCCCTGTGTGAATGGGAGACTAGGGGAGAAGAGATCCAGCACTGTGCCTGGCTACATCTCTTCTCCCGTCTCTTCCTCTTCACACAGGGACTCCAGCAGCAGTTGCTGCTGTAAATCAAATGCAGTGAAGAGGAAGTGGGGGACGGGGCTAGGTGTGCATATAGAGTGCGGCTTCATAGACACAAAGGTCAGGAGCAAGTCGACATTGTGTGTTCCCATATGGCTTGCTGTGGACACCAAGAAAAGGAGGAGCCAAGATCATCAGCAGGGGACCTGAGAAGAGGAGGATGGGGGCCGCTTTGTGTAATACCACTGCACAAAGCGGGTGAGTAAAAACATGTTTGTTATTTTCATTTTTTAAAAAAAAAATCAGACTTTATTAACAGTCTTGTTTGGTCGGCTGTGGTGTCTGTAGTCGGTGTTCGGACGGGGAAGCGGCTTTATAACGGAAGTACCCAAGTGCAGACTGGGTCGGTTCCATTACATTGGTGGCAAGCGGTGGGATTTTGCTTCCTGGCTGTGAACACGTCCAAACCACCACCGGGATTCAAGATCAGGAAAGTAGACGTCAGTCACCCCAGTGGTGATATGGACCTGGCATCAGAGTTCCCGGGGCTGCTGCTGATCGTTCTTGCAACATACCCCAGGACTGTGTCTGCGGATGAGTACCTGGAGCTCAGGCAACGGATTCTGGTGGTGCTTTGGAGTGGAGCCCTCCAGGTTGCTGGTATGTACAAGGGCAAGTGCTATCCAACCCCAGGGGAATGGGCCAGGGACCAACGGAAGTTATGGATGCCATTCCTGGGAGAGCGACCCCCAGGAGCAATGGGTGAGTTGGACAGGCTGGTCCAGCAGGGGATAGATCTGGACAACTGATATCGGGCTCTGCAATGGTACACAGAGCAGAAATATTTAGGGGTGAAAACAGAATTCTCTTCGGAGGGATATGACTTTGGTGGCCCTGGATTGCTGTGGGAGAGCCTTACAGATCATTTTGTGTTTGGTGATGAAGGAGAATCTACCCTTGAGGACCTGCAAGAAGACAGAGAGGCTATGTTCGGTCTCACAGGGGTCTCAGAGCTTGAACCAGATCTGGAATACCTGCTGATGAAAGAACAGCATCTGGAAAGGGCATACAGGCAACTACTAAAACATTTTCAGCAGCATGCCCAAGAATCGGCAGTGGAAATCCCAGAGATTGCCATCACCAAACCCGAAGTGCTGACTAAAGGGCAGAGCTCTGCTAGCCTCTGCCCAGAACTGGTAACATCTTCTGTGTTTCACGGACAGGAGATGGTGAACCCCTATCCCCCAGACACCAGTTCCAGAGGCTGGGGATTTAATAGACTTCTCTGCTGAGGAAAAACAACCTGGTGAGCCTCCAGCAAAAGAGCTGGCAACAGGGCCAAACATTGCTGAACTCTGCCCAGCACTGGAAACATCTTCTGGGTTCCACGGACAGGAGATGGTGAACCCCTATCCCCTGACACCAGTTCTAGAGACTGGGGATTTAATAGATTTCTCTGCTGAGGAAAAACAACCTGGTGAGCCTCCAGCAGAGAAGCTGGCAACAGGGCCAAATATTGCTGAACTCTGCCCAGCACTGGTAACATCTTCTGGGTTCCACGGACAGGAAATGGTGAACCCCTATCCCCAGACACGTTCCAGAGACTGGGGATTTGATTGACTTTTCTGCTGAGGAGAAACCAGCTGGTGCACTTCCAGCAGAAGAGCTGGCATCAGAGCATGGCATTGTTGACCTCTTCCCACAACAATCAACACCGCAGGAGCTACAGGAAGAGGATGCAATCGGCACCTCACAACTGCAGCTTGAGCTGATGTCCGTGGATGGGACTTCGGTCTCCACTGACACAACCCCAGAAAAGGGTCTGGCATTGGGACAGGAGGATGTCAGCCTTACTTTGTGAACACTGGGGGATGTCCATCAAGTCAAAGTGGATGAGACTACAGTCACCACCTGGATACCCCAGGGATGCTGGGCAGTCGTCCCAGATCCCCAACAGTATGATGGAGTCGGCCCAGCCACCCTGTCTACTCTCCAGCAGCTGAGAGGACTTCAAGGAGAAGGACCAGCCCGTACTTCTCCCCAGTGGCAGGTATGTTCTACTAGAGAGGCAGAGGTTGGCTGGGTGAGTAATGCTTTGTGTGGGACCACTTGCTTGGGGTACTGTGTAGGACCACTTGCTTGGGGTACTGTGTGGGTGCTGGCATTGGGGGACTGGAAGTACAGACTAACTTTGGAGTCAACCCGTCTGGGGTTTCCTCCTGCGTTAGTCTCCTGCCGAAAGGGGAGATATGTGACGGGAGTCACTTTGGGTGGGGGCCCATGGAACCTAGCTCACTTTGGAGAGGTGGGGAGACTCCTTTCGCCGCTCCCCATATCACTATTATGTGTAAGTCACCCTGTACCTGTTAGGGGAACAGGGTGATCTGTCCTAATATTGGGGTGAGGGCAGGGGCGGACTGACTATTTGGAAACACAGAAACTTTTGGAAATTTGGAAACTTTTTAATAAGAGTATAGTATCAAGTCAATTAAACTTCTGGGATATTTATCTAGTCAGTTAAGTAGCAGAGGGGGTGTTAATCAGTTTCAGCTGCTTTGGTGATAATGAAATTAACAACAGGTGCACTAGATGGGCAACAATGGCATGACCCCCAAAACAGGAATGGTTTTACAGGTGGAGGCTGTCGCAAAAACTGCGCAAAACACAGTGAAGTACGCAGTTCAACCATTTTGTAGGCACCTCCATCTTGGTACGGAGTATATATTGTGTCTCTCATTTCTCATTCCCCTTCCCCCTCCCTTCCTGAGAGGCACAGTGACAGATGTGTGTGTGTTAAAAGTGTCACTGGCAGGTAGAGCAGCAGGGGGCCAGAGCTACAAAGCCCCCCCCCCCCCAGAGAGACAGAGCCTAGCTGCCCAAGAACATGTGTAATTTCTCACTTTGTAACCGAGATAAGGCAGCTTTTCCTAGGAATTGAAAGAGATTGTAACCTCATAAAACCTAGCAGCGTTGGTGACAGAATTAAATGAACATTCCTCAAGTCAGTTTGTCCCCTATGTTTCATATCATGGATTATTAAAATGTTGGTTCTAATTCAGAATCCGCCCGACGATCCCTCCCTAAACAGAGTATTGGTTAGTTACTCAGAGCCACCCCCCTGCTGGGGGACTTTAAAACACAGGCTAGCAGGCTTAAAAAGTTAAGTTGAAGACTTCTCCCATTTTTTCCATCGTAACAGCGGGAGGTCAAAGCACCATTCTGCTCTGCAACTTGGATCTGCTTACATGAAAAGGTTTAAATGGCAAGTAACTTAACCCTTTAACTTCCTTCCTATTATCTCTATGCTGTGCTATGGTTCTTTGTATGTATATATATATATATATATATATATATATATATATCAGTTACATCTTTTTCTGTAAATATTTTATTGCATCTGTTTGACTCTTTTAGTAATAAATCTTTCTTTCTGAAAGTGTTAAACTGTTTCTAAAGCGCTTAATTGCAATTTACGAATTCCTGCCTCTAAAGAGACGCTACTGTGTTTGTTTAATCCTCTGCCCAATCGGCCTGCGGTGACCGTATTGGACAGACGACTTTTAAACCATTACAGTGTATATTTGATAAAGAGAGTTTCCCCTTTCTCTGTACAAAAAGGGGTGGTGGCAGTGAAGGGTTAGTTGCGTAATTAACCCGACCCAGTAACAATCGCTCAGGCTGACGGCACATCGATCGGTTGACCATTAGCTGGAAAATATCTGTGTAGGGTGCAGCTGGGTGTGGCATTGTTACGCACGTCACATCGCGGTTTTAGATCGGTCGGTCCTTCGGTCACGAGTTTGGTGAGAAGGTCTGGGGTCTGACGCCGCGATCATGACAGAGGCCACAGACATTTTTTTCCCTATTCATCTTTTCTGATTGTTTTTCACTAGTTTTGCATTTGGCTAGGGTCAATGTCACTACTGGTAGCATGAGGCGATACCTGGACTCTACACAGGTTGCACAGGCAGTCCAACTCCTCCAGGATGGCACATCAATATGTGCCATTGACAGAAGGTTTGCTGTGTCTCCCAGCACAGTCTCAAGAGCATGGAGGAGGTTCCAGGACACAGGCAGTTCCTCTGAGAGAACTGGACAGTTCCGTAGAAGGTCCTTAACCCATTAGCAGGACCGGAATATGCTCCTTTGTGCAAGGAGGAACAGGATGAGCACTGCCAGAACCCTACAAAATGACCAAACAATCAGAAACAGACTTCATGAGGATGGCCTGAGGGTCCGACATCCTCTAGTGGGCCCTGTGCTCACTGCTCAGCCCCATAGAACTCGATTGGCATTTGCCATTGAACACCAGAATTGGCAGGTCCGCCACTGGTGCCCTGTGCTTTTCACAAATGAGAGCAGGTTCACCCTGAGCACATATGACAGACGTGAAAGGGTCTGGAGAAGCCGTGGACAACGTTATGCTGCCTGTAACATCATTCACCATGACCGTTTTGGTGGTGGGTCAGTGATGGTCTGGGGAGGCATATCCATGGAGGGACTCACAGACCTCTACAGGCTAGACCAGCGTTTTTCAACCACTGTGCCGCAGCACACTAGTGTGCCGTGAGATATTGTCTGGTGTGCCGTGGGAAAAAAATTGCAATTTCATCCGTAACATGTGGCCTCGGCTCACAAATAGACCAATCATTAGAACAGCAATGGGCAAACTACGGCCCGCGGACCGT